TGACAATTTTTTCTTACAATAGCTATTTGTATGTGTAATTGTTTTGCAGAGAAATTTTTATTTCAATTCTTAGTTTTTGGGTTCATTTTTCATATGATGAGGATACTAAACACGACAATTTTCGATTTTTAAAGGTAAGCACCAACAAAATTTTTTTTCTGCTTTATGAAATAAAATTTGATCTTTCAGCATTCCGCCCAAACCTGGTAAGTCCCGTAGTGCTCAGTTAATATTCAGCTAAATGGACATCTGCAATGAAAGTTGACAGTAATTCAGAATAGTTTTGAGTCACGTTATTAACTGGAAACTTGTGCCACTCTCGTAGCCAATCAGACACACAGTTAAAACAATCGTGACTTGAGAAATATTTGGTGATTGACAAACGTCTTCCCACGCTTTTATCAAGTTTTATCTTTCGTAAATTGTTCTGCAATAACGACACTAAATCGAAAATTGCGTATTGCAAGTAATTCAAGGCTGATACTGAACTAGTTCTGCGAGTTTTCGGTTTCGTGGAGGTTCATTTTTTCCATTCCTTGAGGAATTTAGTCATAAGCTAAGGGTGCCGAAAATATTTTCAAATCTTTTTCGAAACAGAAGGGCTAGAAAGCATTGTCAGTGCGAATGAAGCAACGGATTCAGTTTACCTCCAAGACATGTACATGATATTATTTATTTCATATATATATTAACTCATGTGCATAAATAGGCTCCTTACTCGACATCAGATTTAGACAATCTAGGCCTTGAAAGACGATTTCAAAATTCTGTGACAATGACTTTTTAACTAAGCCACAAAACTTGGTTGACCATAGTTGCTGGGGCAGGTGTTCGTTGACTCGAGTCCTGCGAAACCAACGAATTTTGTCTTTTGTGATTTAAAGGGGAAAACATCTACAACGAAACGCATAACAACTGAGGCAAGATTTAAATTAAAGAGTAAGTCATGATCACCTTTTGAATATAATATTTTCACTGAAATTTCTCCATCTCATCGGTTGGTAAATTTTTTTCCCCTCACCATAGCACAGCCTCAAGTATTTACAGACAGGCTTCAACTTTAATCTTCACACTAAGAATCGGTTTTAGAAGTTCAAAATATATTAGCCTTTGATAGGATTACGCTATAAGCTGGAGCTCTATCAAGTTTAATCCCCGTTGCATTAGATCTACTAAATGAAACTCAAAACATATATTTAAGCATTGCCTTAACAGGAAACTTTCATTTTGTGAACGTAATTTAGCTTGACTTTTCGTCTTTTTCCTCTCACTTTACTCTTGTTTAGCCTTAAAAGGAGATATCAAAAACTCGAGGGCATGTTATTCGTCACGATATTTATTGCTTTCAGTTATTTGCGTGCATTCCCCTTTCGATTTTCATTAACACAACGAAACCACCGACGAGGTCTTCGTGATGAAATATTCTCTACCAATTTTCCTTCTTAGCGTTTAATATTGTGATTAAATATTCACCCTCTTTTACTGTAATATTACACCACTTGTGTCCCTGGAACTGATGTTTTTAATTCGAATCAAAGTCAACCACTCTTGACTCTGGTTATGTTATTAAAGCTATTAAACTCTTATGGCTGTCTTTTGCGGTGACAGACGTAAGTTGAGAACCCTTGAAGATAGGTGTTTCTTCTGATTATTTTGTAATTAACGCAAACTTATTTCGTTTTCAACTGAATGATTTACGTGCATTTAAGACAGACCTTTCCGATTCTTTAGTGGAACGGAAACGTGACAATGGGGAGCCAATATCCTGTTTGAGCCATTTCACTCTCGCTCTGGCAAGTGTATGAATGGATCCATTTGATTTATTATTGATGCACATGTCTGTGTTTTTCAAATATATTTTACTTTCTTAAGACCTCATGCACTGACGAAAGTGATTCGCCTTTAATGGTTGAGCTGAAACGAACTGCAGATCTTCCAAAAGAAGCGTCTTGTAACACGCTCTTGCTACACACTTAACAGCCAATTTCTTAAAAGCCTTTCATGTACTTTGGTAAGGAAGTTGATTAATTTTATTGAATTCCTTTTCTTCCTTTTTTCTTAAGTGATGTTCTTTATTGAATTTAGTTCTGGTAATTTCTCTTGGTAAGAGTCAATGTCGACATTCTTCGTTGGGAAACGACTTCTTTTATTCTGGGAAGGCCTCAAAATAAGGCATTCACTAGAAATTCAATTCCTGACTATTAGGAATACAATAATAAAATTGACAAATCAGTAATTTCATTTAGTGAGCAACTGATTTCAAAACTAGAGCTGATTTAGAATTAAATCAACGCCATGTACACCCAAATATGCATTTTGCTAGTTTCAGTCTTGAAATGCAGTGGTTGGGCAACCACTCTTTCAATTATAATTCTTGTCACAATGCAACAAGGTTCGACTAATTAACAGAGTAAACATAAATTTTCAAGAAAACGAGACTGCCTCAGGCACAATAACTAGCAATCAATACAATGCATCACTGTTTCTCATCATTCGTGTTCTCTATGGCTTGACGGCCAACCCAAACTCATTTTTGTCATTTCAGAAAATGCATTTGTTCAGCCAATTAAGCCTGATTTCGCCTGCCTTTTGCTTATCACATTGATACAAATCGAAATCTCTACGTGGAGTCAAATGGGTAAATTTTACCATATACTTCACTGCTTGAGGAATTTTCATGGAACTACTGTTTTATTCTGTAACTGATACTCATCGGTAGGAACTCGAGACTCACTCCTAGCTCAATCAGTCGAGTAAAAATAAATGAATCTGCTAAATATCTAGAAACCGCAAAATAACCATATTAGATGCGTAATATTGGACGGAGGGTAGCAATTCTTGGAATGTTTTGGCGTCGCCTTACTAGTACATTTGTCAAACAAATCGACCGTTTGTGAAATCAACTGAGGTGTTTTTAAAGAAAAAACAAAACAAAAAAGAAATAAAAACAAACACAAAAATTGAAAAATAACAAATAAAATAAACGGACAACATAAAACAAGAAAAACAAGACAACAACAAAAACAAAAAACAAAACAAAAAATAACAATAACAAAATCACCTGAGGATGCTCTTAATCCACATTTTGCTCAACATTTCTTATTTCCTTTTAGACTGACAAGCTGAAGTGTAAGTTCCGAAGGATTGGCCAAAAAGTGCTTCCTGATGTACCCTAGGTTTTTTAATATCGTTTTATTTACTCTGCCAGGGTGTGCCAAAAGTAATAAGTGATAAATATGGTGACCTCAAATGTAACTTTATTAAGGGCTTAAGTTCATTTGAACAATAGAGTCGGATAAGTATCTCGGATACAGTATGTCAAGAAGTCGTAATCCTTTTTCCCATGACTAATAAACGATTTTAAATGCTTTAGAGGTTTTTTATTAACAAGGAGTGGTTTTCTTTTTTGGTCTCGATCATTTGATCAGCTTGATGGAAAAAAATTAAGAGAAGTTTTATGCTACATTATTTTCGAAAACTGAATTACATCTCAATGTAATAACCAAAGAGGTTTTTTATTTCATTATTTCACTGAAAATTGCGCAATATCGATTTCATCAAACTTGAAAATTCTGACTTAATAATCATCCGCGGCCTGCATGCACTTATCACTACTTTTCCCATTGTTTTCTACTGGGGTTGAAATTAATATATTAGTTCCGATTTTCATAGAAATTTGTCTACATCGCGTAAAAAATGTTTGTCTAAAGAGCCATTTTGTGCTTTCTTTCCTAAGAGTCTGTCACTTTTGATTACATTGGATGATTACAATGGCGCC